TTCAACTCCCAGAATTCCCCAGCCAGCCATGCTGGGGAATTCTGGGAGTTGAAGTCCACACGTCTTCATATTGCCAAGGTTGAGAAACACTATACTGTATTAGCCAAACAAGTACAGAACATTATCCATGAATGAAGAGAAAGTGTCTCTCTTCAGATCTTACTTTGAAAGAACTGGGGGGAGAAAAATCACTAGCAGACTTTTGAACTTCTGTGTTCCTTCAACACATTTTTGTGAAAATAGACTTTCTCTACTCACTCAAACCATGATAGAACACCAAAACAGACACAATATGGTGCCAGTGGTAAGATTTTAACAATATCCTTCTACAGCTGATGCAAGATGCCTTTGTACATAAGCCCCAATATCCTGTAAGATTACTAAAATGTGTTAGGTAAAAATTCCTTCTATTTTTTTATTCCTTTCTTAAAGGAAAGTCGTAGGTGTTCCTTTTTAAAAAAAATCATTTGGCTTTCCACAGGCTTTGAAAAATTTAAGAAACATTCATTTAAGCCCTTCTCAGTTTTTAGGCTGTGGAGTCTATCGTGACAATTCCAAATATTCAGCCTAGAAACTCTATTAGCAGTGATTAATGATCCCTTTGCATAAATCAGAGTCAACATTGCCATTGTCTTCATCTTAAACTCCACATTCACCTGCCAGAGGGACTTAAGAGATTTTTGGTGTCACTTACTTCCTCTAACGGCTGAAGGAAATATGTTACCCCTTGGGACTGATTGCTCACAAATCTCAAGCACACTTTGACCAATATCAGCCCCACTCTGTGTTTTTTTTTCCCAGGCGATGTCTTGTTTATATGTGAAGGAATATTCAGAACTGGTTAAAAGGACAAGAGAGTGGGCAGTCTTGAAGAACATCTTATATTGCTCTTCTGCCAGTAGTAGGAGACAAAAATGTCATTATGACTACTTTAATAAAGCACTGCATCTTTTATAAAACCTTCAAATGCAAAGGAGGAAGAGTAAGGAGAAAAAGTTAGAGGAAGAGGAAAAAATGAGGTAAGGAAATGACAGGACGTCTGCAGGGGGAAAGGGACGAAAAAATCAAGATGTGGCTTTGATTACTCAGCCGTGGCTATCATCTTGACTTTTTTGGCCCAACCCCACCCCGTCATGGATACGCCTGGGAACTGTTTTCTAGTGTGATTGAAAAAACTTGCCCTCTTCATGTCAATGCATTTGTTCTGGCTCAACATTATACAGGATCAACCCAGCCATCATGGGTTGCATGTTGAAGGCTTAGCATCATGCTTCAGTCTAGCTACAACTTATTCAACCAACTACGGTCACCACAAAGCATGACTTGACACAATGTGTGAACTCAACTACTCTGTGCCCGCAGCCTCAACTGCAAAGGAGGGGAAATCATACAACGTTGTCCATGTTGTACCCTGTTCTGCTGCAACATTGGCCTGGACAGCCATCTTGGGAGCAAATCTTCCATTGTCCAAGCTTTGGCTGATATTTGTTTTTGTTTTAAAAAAACCACTTGCCCTAACTTCTGTGGATAAAGGTGGGTTAGAAATCTTTCTTTTAAAAAACCAAATAAATAAACAAGTAAGTAAGTAAGATAGCCTTGGGACAGTTGACAATAAGCAAAGCTAGCTATTAAAGTCATTTCCCGGTTGGGCAAGGAAGCATTACAGGGCAGGAGAATCACATGCTCATCATCTGTCTTCTCGGCTGACACGCCATCCACCCTACGTGCCCCACCACAAGGTCATCGATGGCCAAATAGTGTGCTGGCAATGCAGGGAATTGAAGGATGTTTTTCCAAAGGCAATTCATGATACAACCTGTTTACAAGCTCTTGTACGTAATGACATGGAAGCCACAGGTCCTGCAAATTAATATTGTTAAATAATTGGGGCCCAGCACGCCACATTTCCTGAGCTTTGGGGACAGGTTATGAAAGTCCCATTTTGTGGCAAAACAGATTGCCTCAGCAAAGTGCTTCTTGAAGGAAGTCCAAGAGCTGGACTGAAATGAGTCAGCCCCATCGTTATTTTTGCTTAGCTGCTATTGACACCCCACAGGGCCGTCTGCAAGATATGGTCCAAAAAAGTCAAGATGAAAAGTCAGGTCAGGCCCTTCTAATCTTGGGGATTAAGCTGTCCCATAGGGTAGCCCCCATGACAGAGAAGGCATGCTTTCTGAATCCTGCCAGATGAAGCTGCCTTATGGAGATTAACCCCCATAATTAACCTCTGCCAGAAAGGGGCTTCCGTAGGTCTTCCATCTCTGTTTCCTTTATTCCTTTTATTTATTTATTTAACAAATTTATATCACAAAATGTGACCGGGTGGCATACAATACATAAAAATCATAAACATCATAAAACACTAAGTAAAAACAGAAAAACAAAAAAGATAAAAACTCAAGGTAGTGGGAAAGACAACCATTACTTAACATCACACAACCATCTTGCCTGCTCACCATAGGACCCCCAAGGTTGGTGGAAAAACCATGTCTTGAGGGCTTTCCAGAAGGCAAATAGGGATGGGGCCGATCTTACCTCAGGGGGAATGACGTTGGGGCCACAGCAGAAAAGGCACACCACCTGGGTCCTGCCAGATGTAACTACTTAGTAGGTGGGACCCACAGCATACCCTTCCTGTTTGACCTGATTGGACAGGTAGATGTAACCAGGAAGAGACAGCCCCTCAAATAACCTGGTCCCATGCCATGTAGGACAGTGTTCCTCAACCTTGGCAACTTGAAGGGGTCTGGACTTCAACTCACCAAAATGGTGGCTGGGGAATTCTGGGAGTTGAAGTCCAGACACCTTCAAGTTGCCAAGGTTGAGGAACACTGATGTAGGGGTTTGAAGGTCAAAAACACCTTGAATTGCACCCAAAAGCAAACTGGCAAATAGTGCAGCTCACGGAACAGAGACATAACATGCACCATCCTGGGGCGCACATAACTGTCCGCGCAGCCACATTTTGCACCAGCTGAAGCTTCCGGATATTCTTCAAGGGCAGCCCCATGTAGAGCACATTACAGTAATCCATTCTAGGCGTGACCAGGGCATGAGTAACTGTAAGTAAAGCCTCATGGTCCAGGAAAGGGTGCAACTGGCACGCAACACAAAGTTGCCCAAAGGCCCTCATTGCCACTTGCTCTTCGAGCAGGAGTCGCGAATCTAGAAGGACCCCCAGATTGCACACCAGGTCTGCCTAGGGCAGTGCCACCCCATCCAGTACCAAAGATGGTAAAGTCCCAAATCCAGAATGCTCAGAAACCCAGAGCCGCTCGGGGTTGCCAGGGTTCAGCTGAAGTCTTTTGTTCTTTTTTTCCCCAGATTTTTTTATCCCACCTTTATTGCTTTTATAAATAAATCAAGGCAGTGAATATACCAAGAGGGTTGGCAAAGTTGCTTATTTTTTTGTTTATTTCTCAATGTATACAGCCACCCAAGTCACAAATTGTGACTTCGGGCAGCTAACGTAGAATTAAACCAGTATGAAACCAATATAGAGAACAAAGACATGACCCAGTCAGTGCTTACCCATAATTGTTCCATCTCAAATCCTTTCAGATGGGCTCTTCAGATGGGTCAGGCTCTCCTAATCTTGGTTATTAAGCTGTCCCACAGGGCATATCAATATTGGTGCTGCTTTACTCTTCCTCTCTGTTTTCTATTTTCCTTCCTCTTCCTTTTTCCCCACAACAACAAACCTGTGAGGTAGGCTGGGCTGAGAGGGAAGGACTGGCCCAAAGTCACCTTGCTGGCTTCCATGCCTCAGGCGGGACTAGAACTCACTGTCTCCTGCTTTCTAGCCTGGTGTCTTCACCACTAGGCCAAACTGGCTCAAAATCAAAATGGCTGTTCCCCATCCAGACCCCTACAGCCTCCAGGCACCAGGACAGGACGTCAACAGCATCATTTAATTTGCCTGGGGCAGAGATATATAATTGGGTATCATCAGCATACTGATGATACCTCACCCCATGGCAATGGATGATCTCACCCAATGGCTTCATGTAAATCAAGGTTTCTCACCCTTGGCAACTTTAAGACAGGTGGACTTCAACCCCCAGAATTCCCCAGCCAGCATGCTGGCTGGGGAATTCTG